CGGCTCCTCAGCCCCAAGACCTGCAGGCAGACCTGGCCAAGCAGCAGGCAGAGGCAAACGGGGAATCACTTGCACCGCTACCAGCCCCATCCAGCCTCCCCCAAAGAGCTGGGGCAGGAGGGCACCTACCCCCACAGCTCATCCCCCAGCTGTCAGTGGGGGAACAGGGCTCACTGCAGGACCCACAGCCCTACACCCACACACACCACTCAGCCTCGGTGGGAGAGGAGCCACCGCAGCTCCCGGCCTGTATACCGGGCAGGCAAGGCAGGCCCAGAGCTGCCTGCCAAACCTCCTGTGGGCACGGCGTCCCCACCAGCACCCAGACAACCCAGATCACAGCACCCTTCTTAGCTGGGGGTATGACCCTGGTTATCCGCACACTCAGCCAGCCCCTCAGAAAGCCAGTGACTGGCACTTTCCAGGCCTGGGGGCTCCCTCTGCCCACACAATCCCCCAACCCATCAGGCCAGCCACGTGATAGGAAGAAAGAGACCAGGAGCCAGTCAGTGCTGAGGGCACTCGCACCTTCCTATGCTTCCCATACTGGGTCCCTGTAGCTGTAGTCAGTCAGTTCACGAGGCCCCAGCCTGCGAGCAGCCTAGGACACCCACCCCATAGCTTCAGGAAAGCCTGTGCCTTGGTCTCCAGGCTGGCGGGGCCCCTGGGCAGCAGGGAAGGTCCCCCTTGAGGAGAGGCCGCTGTGGGATCCAACTCACTTTCTCCTGGGGCTTCTTGCTTGGCTCTGCATCATCAGTTTTGGCCGGTTTCTCCTTCCCAGGTGCTGGCAGCTTCACACCTGCTTTCTGCCACGCTTTGGAGACAAAGGTGCAGCTCAAGTCCAGCTCGTCCTAGGAGAGAAAAGCAGTTCAGGGAAGTGTGCAAAGCTGCGTGCTTCTGGCTGCAGGACAGGCGCTCAGGCCGGGAGCGCAGCCGACGCTGCGCAGTGCTCGTGGGCTGGCCACGCTGGCCCAGACCAACATGCAGCTCAGCCTAGCCCACCCCAGGAGTGCCTCACCTCCATCTCCTCCTCCGTGCTGGCCTCTGGGCCTCCTGCTCCCTCCTCTTCAGGGCAGGCTGCACTCTCCCCAAGGGACTGAGAGGGGCTGGACTCTGGACAGTCCTTCACCTTCTCAGCACTGCTGTTATCACTGTTACCAGCAGCTACAGCACTGTTCAGAGACGATGAACTCTGGAAACAGAGAGCAGGAAGTCAGACGGCAGCCGTGTGGGTACTGCTACGCAGGCAGCAGGGCTGTGCCAGCCCACATCTCTCCTTCTGGCCAGGACACCCTTTGCAAAGACAGCCTCCAGCAGCCCTCCAGAAGCCGTAACGTCTCATGTTCCGACATCTACAAGTTCCCTCAGAAGGCACCACGTGCCAGATTGCAGCAGAGCCATGCTCCACACCCAAAGACAGGCAAGGCTGGCTGGCCCAAGAGCAGACTACACACGGTCACTCACCGGTTCAGCCTCCTGCTCGCTTTTGAGCTTTTGCAACAATTTTTCTTCTCTCTTCCGGTCTTTCTGCTTCTGGAAACCAGAGAGAAAGCTATGAGCTGGGGCCTGGCAAAGCAGCACAAAGCCAAGCCTGAGCCAAAGCCACAGCTTTTTACTCATCTGCTGCTTAGAGAGAGGAGTGTAAGTGAGCACCAGCTCTCTCCCATGAAATACGCTTCACCCCCCAGAGCTACCAGCAAGGTTTGGAAGAAGCAGGGGAAACTTGGCCAGCGGCATCCATGCTCCTGGGCAGGCCATGCAAAGCCTAGCAGCACAGCACACCCACCTTTTTCTTGAGTTTCCTTTTCTCAGCTTTCTTTTTCATTCGCTCTTCCTCTGCCACCAGCTCCTTCGCATTTTTCTCTGCTTCCTGGGAAGAGAAAGGTGCTGGTGACCCCGCAAGCCCGGGCCAAGTGTGAACTCCCAGCACCGTGCCACAACCAGCAGAGCCCTGGGATGCACAAACAGCAGGGCCTCAACTGCCTCTGTGTGTGGCACAGAGCTGCTGCAAGGCATGTGGCCTGGCTGACAGCAACACCAAGGGACTGGAGAGAGCTCACAGGAGAGCCACAGAGTCTAGAAGCCAGTTCGCGGGCAGGAGGCTGCAGCAGCTCAGCAGCTGCGTACTCACACAGAAGTGAAAACGCAGCTCGGCCACCACATGCCCAAGAGCCCCTGTGCAAAGGTGTAATCAGCCCAAGGTGGCTCTGTAGAAGCCAGCACTAGGGTTTGCAAGGAAGCAGCTCGCTCAGAAACGCTGTGCCTTATTCCAGTCAGGAGGCAAAGGAAGCACTCAACAAACCTGAGGCAGCTTCCCCACAGCATGCGTTGCCCCTGCTAGAGCTGGAGGTTGTGCGCTGGGTACGGGAAACACTCGCAAGAGTCCCTACACCAGATCGGGCAGTCAGAGCGCCCGAGGGAATCACCCCGCTGTGCAACACCTCCAATAGCTGCAGGACCCTGCTCCGCAGCAGCCAGAGCCCATGGGTCGAGCACGCCTCGGGTGGGAAGGCAGGGATGGCTCCCCCAGCATGAGGGAGCAGCAGAGCCTGTGCTCTGCACCACCAGCTCCTCACTCTCCAGGCCTTGCAAGAACGTGGAAGGACAAGAGGCACCAGGGGACATGACACTGCACGGGTGTGGAGGGAACATGCTGGGGCACAGGGCATCTATGGAAAAGAGATAAGGAACAGAGCACCTAGGAGAGTCTCTCTCTAATCTTAATTACCTCAGCTGTAACCTGCGGCTTCCAAGACAGGTTTTCAAAGTGCATTTTTGTGTCTAGGAAGCTCTGGGGTGAGTGAGCAGACACAGAATCCTTGCACAAAAAAGACTTCTTGAACCCGCAGAAGTTGTACTGAAGGTTGCTGTTCTCATTGGGAATGTCACAATTCTGGCTGTAGTCAGTCCACTCCTCCTCCTCCTCCTCCTCCTCGCTGGAGGGCTCCAGGTTGCTGGGGTTGCAGCGGAATTCCCAGCCTGTGCAGGGAGAACAGCCACGCTCAGGAGAGGGAGAAGAGAGGGGCACTGCCACACGTTGGACACGGACATGCCCCACTACACTCCTCCTGCAACCCCACGACGCTAGAAACAGCTGCCTCTATCCTGACACCTCCTCCCGCCCCATCACTGAAACAGCAAACTGCCTGCACGGGCGTGCAGAGGAGTCAGAGGTGCCACAGACGCTCTGAGCTTCACCTGCCATTGCGAGATGCGGGAACTGCCCAGACACAGTAAGAACAGGCAGCTCGTTACATCGCCAAGTTCAACAAAGGAGACAGACAAAACCAAGAACAGCGTACAAACAACAACCAACAGCTGAAGACTGTACTAGAAAAACGGGATCAGGCTTGGAAGGGTCTGACAGTGCAGGGAGCAAGCAGAACCAAGCAGAGACCTGCTCAGACAAGACCGTAATACGCCCCCTGGGAGGTGGGCGCGTCTCCTCCTGCCAAGCTGAGCGGGGAAGTGAGAGCAGCTGCCCTGCTCATCTGTGCACTCGCTCACGCTCCACACTGGCCGGGCGAGCCTGCTGCTCGCAACAGGTGAGCTCCCCGCCGGAAACCACAGCTCTCCCCAAGCTTGTGCCCACGCGTTTCCCCAGCAGGGTCCTGGTTCTGGGGAAAACCTGGGCACTACCGTCACGCAGGCCAAACAACAGGGATGAGACACAGCAGGGTCACGAGCTGGAGCTTCTCTTCAGCCAAGCTCACTGTGTCCAACCGGGCACCCTGGGACCCGTGAGCAGCACAGAGCCTTGGCCCAGCTCACCGGGAGCACGCAGCAACCCGCAGCCTGCACACCTTCACACCAGAGCCGCCCTCCAGGGCCAGCAAACAGACACTTCTCAGCAGTGCAGGCCCAGTGTGAAAAACGCCCTGCCAGTCTTTCAGAAAGAGCAGCCCCCACGCGCTGGGTGGAAATGAGGAGGTGGGTGCCACACCTCTGCCAGCTTCCCCTGCCCACAGTGCGTGGCACCATCCTGAGCCCCAGAAGGCGACGGCATAAGTCAGCAGAGGATTCGCTCCCCCACAAGGGCAGGAGAAACACCCGCTGCTCCCAAGGGCTGAGCCCCTGAGGCAGCTCCTGAACTCGGCCTCTGCCCCCAGCGCTGTCACCTGAGCATCTCTGGCCAGCGGCTGTTCGGGCTTCGCCCTGGTTGAACGCGTCCTGTGCCCCAAACACGTCCCCCATCACAGCGTGATGCATCATGTTCAAGGCAGTCTGC